CAACAAAGAGACAGAAAACTTAAAAATACTAAACAGAGACCACGGCACTGAAGAATACAATAATTGAACTTAAAAATTTACTAGGAGAGTTCAACAACAAACTGGATCTAACAGAAGAAGTGATCACTGAATTTGATAAAAGCTCATTGAAAATTATTCAGTTGGAGGGGCAAAACAAAAAAAAGAAAGAAAAATAGTGAAGAAATTTTAAGGGAATTATTTGATACTATATCAATATACGCATTACAGAAACCTCAGCAGTAAAAGAGAGTGAGAAAAAAATCAGAAAGCTTATTAAAAGAAAAAAAAGCTGAAAAATTCCCAAATAATGGCAACTTCCCATTATTGTGACCTATTTATAGAAAGATAAATCTCACAATAATTGCACTATGAATATGTACATATGAAGACCAAGGTTTAAGGGCTCCTTCACTCTCTACTGTATTTCATTGAGCCAGCCTAACTTCCATTTTCAAACTCAGGATCATTCAATCAATGATCCTGATTTGCAGGACCAATGCTTATCTGGGAAGGTGAGATATAAATACTCTAACTGAATATTCTAGGACTCAGCAGAAATTTACTTATTGCTGAGTCATCTCTAAACTTGAATTACAATTGTGATACCTGGTTCTTATTCAATCATTATTTCTCTGATGACTGACACACAGTCCTTTCTCTCTGCCTAAATATTTTCATATTCCTATATTTCAAATTCTTTTCATCACAGATACCAAAAATGATGTCTCGAGAAGTTCTTCAAAGAAAGACATTGTGAAGAAAATAGAAAAGGTGAAGAAAATGTAATTATATAATGTGGAATGAGAACTACACCATCTTTACATTCACCTAAGTAATAATAATGACGTATAACCAACTAAAAACCTATACATTGGGATTGCATATTGACCTTCCTCCTCCCACAGACGCTGGTGGAAATTCTTCATTGAATGTAGTAAAAGAATGATTTCTGCCCTCAACGTGTCTGTCTGTATTACTACATACATTACTTCACCTCTTCTGGTTTCTTCTGTGAGCCATTTTGTACTGGGAAGACTGTATACTTGGGCTTTTTTTCTCAGTCTTTGCTTATAGATAGTTTAATATTTAATTTAAGTAGAGGTATAAGCAAAGTTTTGTAATCTTAATTTATCTTGAAATTTAGCATAAATACATATAAAAGTCTATAAAATATACTTCAACCATTATATAAAAGGAACTGCTTGTAACAACCCCGCAGATCTAAAATAGAACATTGCCAGCACGCCAGAGCCCTCTATGTTCCCCTACTTGATAGTAGATCCATCTATCCTTCCATTCTCCATATTGACTCTGCTGCAATCACTGTCTGGCTTTTCTTTATAGCTTCATCACTGAAGTAGGGCATCCTGGTCATCTGCATCCAGCCAGCAGAAGGATGAAGAGAATGTGCAAATGACCATTATACTCTACCCTTATGTGTTTCCATTTACTGTATAGGCCAGTATAAAGTAAGAACATATTCACACACTCTAAATTAGAGAATAGAGCTGTCAAATATAAAATGTGGAAAATACTTTCTTGACATTTTTCTTATTTTAACATTTGCTTTTGTCTTCACTTTCTTTTTTATTCACTGAAACCATTGTTCATACTTCACTGATATTTAGAATTATGGTAAATTTTGTATAATAATAACAATATCCTGAGAGATTTAGAATCAAAACAGCCAAGGCCTAGTCTCCGCTTTACCACTTAAATGTTGTGATTTGGAACAACCATGAACACATCTGAGCCTCCCTTTCATCGTCTATTAAATGAGAACTAAGATTCCGTCTCCTGAGTTTCTCACACTACTTTCCTGGAGAATATATACACTGACAGATGTGACATTGCAGAAGAAACTGAAATACATAAGAGCAATTATAATAGTCTTATAATATAATATAGATGCTATATTAATATTTATATTAATCTCTATATTAATATTTAAAATGGTTTAATTGAACTTTATGTTAGAGACAGACTTGAAACAGCCCAGGTGGTTCTCCCAGCCCTCCCACTCACTGAGGAGGATGAGAGTCTCTTTCTCGGAATGTAAAACTGCCCCACACTTGAGTGTGATTTTACTGTTTAAAGGGGCATATTTTGTACAATAAAGCCCTGCAGGTAAACCAACTACTTCATCCAGTGCTCAGCTGATAATACAGTGAAATGTCCCAAGAGAAAAAATGAGTGTGCTGCCATACTTAGGGAAAAATCCCACATCTTCCCTACGTGGACATTAATTCAATAAAATAAACTTGAAGAAGTAATTTTAACTATAGAGACTGACTTTAGAATCTATCTATATGTAGCATGTACCTCTACTCTCTTGTGTAATGAAAAACTACATTTGCATCTTTCTTTTACCATGGCTTATGTTTGTGAAATATAACCCAATGCTACACATTGCTAGGCACTTATAGGTACAAAATACTAGTGTGTGTGAAAGATTATTGAGCAAATTTAACACATGCTTTTGTTCACCTCAAATAGTGATAAAATATATAACAGAATGGATACAACTCTACAGTGTCTACAAAAGTTGCCAAATAGCACAGATATTATGTACTCATTAACATACACTTTTTATCAATAAGGAAAATAATTTTATCAAAATCATTATTTATCAGGCAGGAAGTAAAAGACAAGCTAAAGGAAAACTCCAACCAAGATCAACTATCCTATATGAATAGAATTTGTTAAGTGAAAATCAAGCATGTTGATATTGAGGTCAGGGGATGTGGTATGAGTGGTCATTTAAAACCATAAGTCAAAAATTTAGCAATGCTGAACATGTGAAAAACAAACAAGCCAACAAACCGGTTATGTTAAATTTCACAATACCTGAGTCTTGGAGAAAATAGAAAACTGGAGAAATAGTAAATATTATAAAAGTTATCTTAGAAATATTTAAAATATCACTTGATTAAGGATTAAGGAGTTTTAGAGTAGTTGTCTTTTTATCTTTCTTAAAAGAAAAATAATCCAATACCCTATTACAGAAAAGAAATCGTCACAATTCAGTTTATTCACCAAATGTTCCTTTCAGTTGTTATTGTTCTCTCAGCTGCAATTTGACGTTTTTGTATCTTAAAATCCATAAGGAAGGGGCCGGCCTGGTGGCTTAGCGGTTGAGTGTGCGCGCTCCGCTACTGGCGGCCGGGGTTCGGATCCTGGGCGCGCACCGATGCACTGTTTCTCCGGCCATGCTGAGGCCACGTCCCACATACAGCAACTAGAAGGATGTGCAACTATGACATACAACTATCTTCTGGGGCTTTGGGGAAAAAAGGGAGGCGAATTGGCAATAGATGTTGGCTCAGAGCCAGTCTTCCTCAGCAAAAAGAGGAGGATTAGCATGGATGTTAGCTCAGGGCTGGTCTTCCTCACCAAAAAAAAAAAAAATCCATAAGGAAGTTGCATATGGAAGACAGCAAAAACAGAAGTGATTTAGTTGTTGCCAGGTCCTCCAACCCTATGGGTTTAAATTTTTTAATATCAAATAACTTAAGCTTTTATCCTAGGTGATTAATCCAGCTATCTCCATAATATTTTTAAGGACTTTCAGAAAGGAGATGAGAGTCATAGAAGTGGCTTTCTTTTTCTACTCATTTATTTTTTAACTTCCTTCATCCTAACTTGAGTTTTGATTACCACACACTATTTTACCTCCTGAAGTTGCTGTCCTCTCTCTTCCTGGTTCCCTCCAAATGTGGCCACCAATTTTGGCTTCAATCCCCAAAACACTATTAATGTAGGTCATTGTGCATTATAAGCTTTGTCAAAGCTTTACAGACAGTGGAGGATAATTGCAGTATCTAAAGAATAGGATAGAAATTCGATTGAAATGCAGTTTTAAACGTCACGGTCCTTTCTCTGCAGAGGGACTTCTTGTTTACTGGCCATGTGTTTTTTGAGTCCAGGATTAATGGTCTGTTGCTGGGCTCCTTCCTCTCCCAGGGCCTATTCTCTGAATTAAATAATTGCAAAAATTGTAATTTTTTTTTCATTTTTCAGGAAAAGTTAGCTCTCTATTTGAGCCAATCATCTCTCAACTATCTTAGCTCAAAGAACTTTTCTATTAGAAGAGAAAGAACCATCTAACTGTTTTCCTTAATCAGAAAACGAAAACCACTATGATGAGAGACAATTGTGTATAATCCAACAAAGCACAGTCAAGTTTCAAAATAGTTATCTCACATTTCATGATTACTGAAATAAAAATAATAAGATGAAGTAGATTAAAAGTATACTTGAAAGAGCGGTGGACTGGAAATCAGGAGCCTAACAGTATCCAGGTTTTACATTAAGAAGCTATATGACTTCAATACTTGACTTCCCTGAGCTTTGGTACCATGTCTATGCAATAAATATACAGTGAAGTGCTATCGTGTGTCAGGTTCAAATTTACAAAGGTAAATATGAAATCTCTGACAAAAGAAGCTTAATGCAACACATTTACAGCCAGAAAGTGTACTACATTTTATAGACTTGACGGAACCTGCTGTTTCTGTGAAACACTGACATTTAAAGGGGGCAAATTCTTAGCCAGTGGAGGATGTAAAGACAGGAGTACAAACAAAGCATCTGATGCTGGTTCCAATAGCACATTATAAGTGGTGGATAGAAAATCTCCTATGGCACAACATCACACGACTGTTACTTTACTTGGTCATTTGCAGAACCATTTATCTTTTTCCAGGAAAGGAAAAGAAACTCCATAATGACAACAGAAAAAAACACGGAGATAATTTTTTTCTTTAATGTTATTCTTACACAGGGAAAATGGTGACAAGGAGAATAAATAGTAAACTGGTGAGGAAGGAAGATCTAGTATAAAAAATTAGAAACAAATTGAGAGAAGCCTCCAACCTCCTTCACCATGGTAACAAAGATGCAGGATAAGGAGGATGCCACCTAAACTATTGTAATAAAACAAACAGAATCTACAAGTCCTATAACGACACTGTAGCTGATCAGAGCTTTCTCCTACTCAGAGTTCTTCTCAGAGCAATTTTGACATCTTTGTTCCTCAAACTGTAGATTAAAGGGTTCATTGAGGGAATGACATTGGTATAGAAGACAGAGGAGATTTTCCCCTCATCCATAGACCCAGCAGAAGATGGTTTGAGATACACAAATACACCTGATCCAAAGAAGAGAGAAACAGCAATTATGTGGGAACTGCAAGTGCCGAAGGCTTTGGACCTGCCCTCTGTGGAGCGGATGCGGAGGATGCTGGAGAGGATGAAACCATAAGAGATAAAGACGGTGAGACTGGGCACAATGATGTTGATGCCCACCACAATGAAAACTTCCGGCTCATTGATGTAGGTGCTCGTGCAGGAGAGCTTGAGCAGAGGGAAGACGTCACACATATAATGGTTGATGGTGTTTGCATCACAGAAGGTCAGTCTCAGCATACATCCGGTGTGGGCCATGGCACCAGAAAATGCCATCAAGTATGAGCCAAGCATAAGGCTGGACCATGCGTTAGGGGACATGGCAACATTATACAAAAGTGGTTTACAGATGGCCACATAGCGATCATAGGCCATTGATGTCAGCATGTAGCATTCAGAAATACCAAAAAAACAGAAAAAGTAGAGCTGAGTCATGCACCCCATATAGGAGATAATATTCTTTGATATGAAGTTAATCAGCATTTTGGGTGTAATCACAGAAGAATAACAGAGGTCTATTAAAGACAAATTAAACAGAAAAAAGTACATGGGAGTGTGTAGGTGTGAGTTCAGCCCAATTAGAAATATCAAACTCATATTTCCCAACACAGTGACCATGTAAATTATTAGAAACAGGAAGAACAGGGGGAATTGGAGCTCTGGTTGGTCTGTTAATCCCAACAGAATGAATTCAGTCACCAAAGAGCCATTTCCAAGAGCCATTCTTTTCAAAGGGATCTGTGAGTACAGGAAAAAATTGTTACATTAGAGGAAAACCCAGCTCTTCCCACTTGTGCTACAAAAGAGGACATATGCTGGGAATATCTGAGACTAGCCCAATCTAGACCAGTAAAGTTGTCTTTATCATTATCATGATACTGACTGACACAAATTTTCCTTTTTTTAGATTCTTTATCAGCTAAACAAAGCAAAAGCCATCATTAACTTATTCTACAGAGAGAAGGCCAATGCTGCCATATGCAAACATGACTGCAGAAAAAAACAAGATCAGTGAGAAGAAGGAAGTATCAGGGCAGAACTGTCCTCATCTCATCTCACCATATCTTCATTCACTCGAACCCTCCCCTCACCAAACAAAATTGGAGGTAGCAACCCCAGCAACCTGGTGCTGACTTCTAATGCGGATGAGACTTGGTGGAGTGGAAACCAAAAGACTGTTTCTAATCCAAGTCTAAGAGACCACAGTCTAGGAGAGGTTAAGTTACTGCCCCATGTCAAAGAGTAAAAGCATCAATTAGAAGAGTGAGAGTTCTACCCACGGAAAGGGAACTTACTAACTGAGAAACTGAACGCTTTGAGTCCCTTAATGTCTCTGAACATTCCCACCCTTCCCTGGAACAATTCTTCCTCCAGTTTCACTTGAGTCTCAGAATTGCACAAAATGGGAAAGAAAGTGTCAAATCTTAGATCTACGGAATTCCATCTCACAACAAAAGGGGCATTCATATAAATGGAATTTAGAAACTCACCATCCTTAGGCCAGAAAATCTCAGTGCTTCCTAATCATCCTTATTTACACCTGCTGTCCTGGAAGGGCAGTTTCAGGCTCTGAGAGTTTGGTTACTTTGATTCTAAGAGGATGCTGCAATAGACTTGATTTCAAATGTGCCCTGTAAATCTTTCTGAACTACAGGGCATAATTTCTGAATATGACTTTGAGACCTCTCAAGTTACAGAGAAAAAAATAAGTCTTTAATAGCATCACATTTGCCACTTGTTAAAATGCAGATGAATGAATGTGAGTTTAATGATATAGTGCAGTTGGTTATGAATAGGGTAGAGCTTGCTCGGTCTCTTCCCCAGGGAATAGATTCTCTGTGTAAAAGGGAAATTTGTATTTACACCCTAAACGACGATCTCTCTTTAGTTCCTCAGGGACTCAATAGTTTACTGAAGTTTTCCTGTCACTCTAGGGATTATACATCTCCCAAAACAGATCTAAAAGTAAATTCCTGTCTCCCTGTCATCTTCATCTCTAAAGGAAAAGCTATTGAATTGTTTCTTTTCCTCTTTCTTCTCATATCCTAAATAGAAAATTCTCTGTAAGGGTTCTACCTCCAGGATTCTTTATTTCTTTATCTGAAATTTTTCAAGAATTACACAACATCACTTCAATTGTTCTCTCTCCTAAGCTATCTCTGAAATAATTTGAAATGTCTTATATCCCTTCTAAAATTGAGCTTTTCAATATCTACTGGAAATTTCTACCTGACTCTTCTGCCTGGATGTTATAGTAACATTTCAGTGACTGAGGTCTTCATTTCTTCTCATCGTGAAAAAGAATAGGGGCCGTGGAATTAGAGAGTGTGTGTATGAGCCCTATCTCCACTCTTACTAACTAGAATACCCTGATCAAATTACTTAATCTTTCTTCCTCTGGTTCATCTTTGTAAAATAGAAATGGTAAAAATGACATCTCTTTCATTGGGTGGTTATGATGATTTAATGAAAAAAATATAAATAAAATGGGTAGGACAGTGCCTGGCACATGGTAAATAATCAATTAACGTCAGCTGTCATTATTTATGTTCTCATAAATTCTGACAGATCCTCCATAATACTCATCAGACTTTTTTCCCCTTAATTTCTTTATTTCCTAATAAATTATAAGTTCTATAAGAACAAACATTTCTGTCTTGTTTACTTTCTAAGTACAGTACAGAGTACATAGTAGGAACTCAATATTTCTGAAAATTATATTGCTCTTTGCTTGAAAACCTTCAGAATATTTTTCACATTTCTCACATGCTAAGCAATAGAGTCTACAACCACAATGATCTCAATCCCTTTGCCTCACCCACCAACAAGTCCAGGCACTATCTAAGTTTTAACTTAACTCTACTACTGTATTGTAGTGACTCCTATTTTTCTAGCTTCACCACATACTTCCTCTTATTTACCCATCTACACTACTTCTAAAATAAGCTCAGAAGACACATATCTGTCGTTCGTTAGTTCAAAACTTTCAATGGTTCTCCATTGCCCATTGGACAATTGAAAGTTTGCAATAAAAGCATGAGTATCAAAACTATAATTCAGCCTCAGTAAAAACAAAAGAAAAAATTGAGTCCAAGTTATTTTTCTTTTTATCCACAACTTTATAAGTTACAATTGACAAATAACAATTGTATATATTTAAGGTATATGACTTGATTTTTTGGTATTAGTAAACATTGTGAAATAATTGCAACAATCAAACTAGTAAAAATATCCATCACCTCACATAGTTACCATTTTCTTTTTCTTTTTTCTTTTTTAGTAGGAACATTTAAGATCCGCCCTCTTAGCAAATTTCAAGTATACAATAGAGTATTGTTCATTATAGTCACATTGGTGTACATCACATCTCCAGAAATTATTCACCTTGAATAAAGGAAGTTTTGTACCACTTGACCAATTTTTTCCCCCTCCCTCCAGACTCTGGCAATCACCGTTCTACTCTCTGCTTCTATTTGTTTGAGGATTTTAGATTACTCATGTAACTTAGGTCATACATTATTTGTCTTCCTGTGACTGGCTTATTTCACTTAGCATCATGTCCTCCATCTTCATCCACGTTGCCAACATTGGCAAGATATCCTTTTTATTTTTAAGGCTGAAGAATATTCCATTTTGTATATATGACCACATTTTCTTCTTCACTCATCCATCAACAGACACTTAGTTTGTTTCTATATCTTGGCTATTGTGAATAAATTTTCAGTGAACATGAGTGCAGAATCTCTTTGAGAAACAGATTTTATTTCCTTTTTGATATATACCCAGAAATGGGATTGCTGGATCACAAGGTAGTTCTATTTTTAATTTGGGGGGGAACCTCTATACTTTTTTCCATAGGGGATGTACCAATTTTACATTCCCACTAACACTGTACAAGAGTTCATTTTTCTCCATATCCTCACCAACGCTTGTTATCTTTTGGCTTTATGATAAAAACTCTTCTAACAGGTGTGAGGTGATAGTTCATTGCAGTTTTCATTTCATTTCCCTGATGATTAGTGATGTTAGGTAGCTTTTTTCTTTGGAGAAATGTCTATTCAGGTCCTTTGCCCATTTTTTATGTGAGTTATTAGTTTGTTGCTGTGGTTGTTGTTGATTTTGGTATTGTGTTGTAGGGAACTCCAGCTTTTTTGCCAACAAAAGCAATAGCAATTTTAGTATTGCTAAAATAATAACCATTATGAATACATCTTTATATGACATTTCTTTTATTTCAGTGAAATGTTTACAGAATGTTGTCTTTCAGTTTAATATATATTTTCAGATGGATTTCCCAAAGGCTTTTATAATTAGTATTCCCATAGGTTATTTATAAAACAATCTTTCCTTCTCTCAGCATTTCTAAATTGTATTCCCCTAAAGATTAATCAGCTTGAGCATCTCTTTATAAATTTATACACCTTTGTAATTTTCTCTCCTGTGAGTTGCATATTTACATCTTTTCACCATTTTCTGGAGAGTTATATCTCTCTTCTTGTCCAATTGTATAAACATAATGTATATTAATCCTATATCTGTCACTTGAATTTAAACTATATTTTTCCTAATCTTCTATCAGTCCACTGATTTGCTTAAGAATCTATTACAAAAGAAAAGTTTAAAATTTTTATAAAGTTAAATATTTCTACATTTACATATATAAGATATGCATAATTACCCTATATATCACAGCTATGATACTACCACCTTGATTTGAGAAAGAATTATCTCATACTAGCAATACTAAAAGGCTCCTTAACTAGATTTCCCTCTTCATCCATTGCCTCATAGTGTCTTTTCCCAACACAGCAGACAAGATCATCTGTTTAAAACATAGGTCATTGTGTTTTAATTTTCCGTGCTCCATTTCATTCTCTCCCTCACTCCATTCATTCAGTATAATAGCCCTTAATATTTTTCAAATATAACAAAAATGTCACCTTAGGGGTTTTGCAGCGACCATTACTCCTCCCTAAAAGCATATTTTCCCAGATATCTACTTAAAATGTCACTGTCTCAATGAATTAGGATCCATGTCCAATTTATCTTTGCATCACCAGTATTTAACATATTTCTTGACACAGGGCTTGTCCTAACTTTGGATAGTTTCCCCTTCTTAGTTGCCATGAAGCTGAGGTGTGGCTACTATGAGGCTGTCTCTTAAAATGCAAATTTAATTAGATTAACTCTAAAATATCCTATTTGAACAATTTGCTTAAGAGCTACTAAATAAATAAATATTGTATTTTTATTTTAAAATGACAGAAAATGTATTTGGCATAAAGCTGATTGGCTTCATGGAGGAACAAAACACATCTCCTGGTATCTGACACTTCAATATTTTCTTACATGAGACTCTAACGCAGAAAGAGAGGAAAGAAGGAAGACAAATATGGTTGATTTTCTTTAAATGTTCTGTTCAATTTCTTCTTCATTTTGATAAAGTTGCTTATAACCTTGTATAACTCAAGAAGTTAATTTTAAAAAATACATATTCTAAATGCGCATACATATCTAGCCTTACAGCAGTCTATTAAAGTATTACCAAGAGGACAAAGTCAAATTTGAGTGGAAGGTGAAAGGGTGAAATTACAAAATGACTTAGATGTAGAAACTCAGGTAATTGGTAAAAATAGATATAGCTAAATTTATTAGTGTTTAACTAAAAGTAAATTCGAAAGCCTATTTTTTTTATCTTTTCATTTCATAGCTTCTAAAGATTTTAC